TAACCTCGCTATTTAATAGGACCCAATTTATGTCTTCTCTCAAACTTTAATCACAGGATTAATAGATTATTTCTTTAAAGCCAGTAGGGATCAAAGAAATTTGATTTTTCGTTAAGGATACCCTGGCCCTCAGCTAACTGAAGGTAGATTGTCGTCTAGTTATAGTCTCTTTTTCTTTAAAAAGAAAAAGTAGTAAAAATTGTTTTGTAGACATTTTATTTAATCTTATGACTAACCAGAACTGATTTTAAAAAGTAGATAAAAATGAGGATAGAATTCATTTAGTGGGGCCCTCTTGTTCCACTATCACAGAAAAACCATTTTTGCCACAACTAAAACTGGATGCTTTGCAAAGAAATATTAGTTTATATATTTCAGTAAATTTTACTAAGAAAACTAAATTTTTTATGTGTATAAGTTTGAAAAATAGAAATATCTTACTGTGTTAAGTAACCTCCATGGGGAAAAAAATCTTAAATGATCACGGTGGCAATAAGAAGTATAAGCAGAACTCTAATGAATTTACTAATAGTTGTTCTCTAAAATAACTCTGGAGTCTAGAAGATTTTTTCCTAAAAGATTTTTACACATTATGTTTTCAAAAGTATTTTTTAATTTCAGTGGAGAAGATACTTTATTTTCACACAGTCAGCATCAACTTAGCATTACATAGTCTTAAAATGCAAGTCTAATTTTAATATGCAACAATAAAACCTGAAAAATATATTTTAGGTAAGGCTTCAAGAGAGATGCTTATGTTCACTGCTGGGATACCAATTTACCATCAAATAGCAATATTTCGCCTTGTTTTTGAGGCCTACTCTGATGCTAAGTTTTACATTTCTAGCCTCTGGATTTTCACCTTCTGGGAAAACAACAGATTATGCCTTTGAGGTAAATTTAATCAATCCATTCTTTCTTTTATAAATGACCTGAAAAAAATACAAATAAGATATTTTGCTAATACATTATTATCTCATTTGAAATCTGTAATTAATTGGTGTTCCCTAATTTCATGATATGATCAGGGACTATTTAGCCAAGTACCTTGTTAGGATAATGGAATATAAATTTTCTGATAACATGAATAATATTTAGAATACTGTCTTCTGTATAGCCATTAAAATAGGACAGGTTCCTGGTTCTACAAACTTTCCAACTTATTATATATGTTGTATGTTAATTCTTCTTTAGTTTTGAAATTATAACAATCCCAAAAGATGTCCAAGTAATCTTTTGGCACAAGAATATAGGAACAATCAATTCTGTAATTACATAATTATTTGTTTAAATACTGTCTCCACCTAGTTCAGGAGTGATAAGTTAAATGCCAGCAGGGGCCTGACAGTAAAGCATGCATGAGCAGGCTGGGTGAGGCCCGTGCTAAGTTTACTGAGCATAGGCCTATCTGAAGGGTGCAGCCTCCACTCAGCCCCACGTGACTGCTGCCCCATAGAAGGGCAGGCCCCGTGTTGCCCAATTATCCAAGCGAGAGCAGACAGTCACACTGGATTTTTTTAATCCTGGTTTTTAAGAATTATTAGCCAATTCAAACATAAGGAATTTAAACATAACATGGATCAAACAAAACATGTCTTTGAGCCAAAAGTGACTCATCACCCATCAATATAAAAACTCTTCTCTCTTCTGTAAACTTTATGAGGCCATGTTCCCCTTGTTCGTAGCTGTGTAACCAGAGCCTAGCACAGTGCCTGGAACATAGCAGGCACTCAGTAGCATTGGGTGGGAGGGAGGATGGATGGATGGATGGATGGATGGATGGATGGATGGATGGATGGATGGATGGATAGATGGATGGATAGATGGATGGATGGATGGCTACATGCATGCCAGGATAGTTGGATAGATGAATGGTTGGATGATGAATGGTTAGCTGAGCGAATGAAGGGGTGAAAAATACAAGAGTCAGCGACATTTAAATTGGAAAATAAGACGAAACTTGAGAGGTAACTTAGCTGTGAAGGCAGCTAAGGGAAGGCAGGCATTTCAAGCTGAGGGAACCACTGAGAGTTTATGAAGTGTGTGGGAAAAAGTATGCATTTCCAATGTGACTAGAGGCATGGTTTGCTTAAAGAAGTACGATGAGTCTGAGGCCTGATGTGGGTGACCTGGGAGGCCGTGCTGCAGAATATATACTTTATTCTCGAGATAAGGAAGAACTGTTTCAGGCTTTTAGAAATGAAATGATCAAATCTCTAATACACCCATTACCTAAATCTTTTTTGTTTTTCAGATGGCTGTTTCAAATATTAGATACGGAGCAGGGGTTACGAAGGAAGTGGGAATGGCAAGTATTTAAGATGTCTAGAGGCTACTGTAGAGGTTACATATCTTTTTAAAAAGTACAACTTGACAACAGCTGAGTTCTTCATTTTTAAAAATGTTCAATGTTAAGGTTGCCAGAAGTGTTTATTACATTTCTAGTGCCATCGAACTTAACTTATAAATTATTTTTGTTGTTGTAGGACCTACAGAACATGGGTGCTAAAAATGTTTGTTTAATGACAGACAAGAACCTTTCCCAGCTCCCTCCCGTACAAATAGTTATGGATTCTCTAGTGACGAATGGCATCAACTTCAAGGTTTATGATAATGTGAGAGTAGAACCAACTGATAGAAGGTATTTTTTTATTATTATTATTGTTTACTTTAAATGGAAGCTAGTATGTATCGCTGTTTGCTTAAAACTTGTCCCAGGCCTCTCTTAATGTCATGGCAATTTACTTCTGAAAAATATGACATAATTGTTTTTCTGTTCCCTTCTCCAAGCTTCCTGGAAGCTATTGAGTTTGCCAGAAAGGGAGCTTTTGATGCGTATGTTGCTGTGGGTGGTGGCTCCACCATGGACACCTGTAAAGCTGCTAACCTGTATGCGTCCAGCCTTCACTCTGATTTCCTAGATTATGTCAGTGCCCCCATTGGGAAGGGAAAGCCTGTGTCTGTGCCTCTTAAGCCTCTGATTGCAGGTAAACACTGTTTATTTGCTTACTTGTTTGTTTTATTTTGCAGTTGTCAGAAGGCCTTAGGAAAGATGCAAGCCAGGATTTTTAGGGCATGTGTTTCCAAAGCTTTCTGATTTCTTCATGTCAGTGTAGTACTCTGTTGGGAGACCCAAACAGGAAGCAATTCATTTATGTTTAAGTTCTGATCTTCATTATGCACAGATAGAGACAATTTGGTTTAGTGGTAGGAAAGTCTGCAGATTAAAGCTAAGAAATCAGTGTGTGAGGGAAGGGAGAAGGTCATCATTTGCTTTTTATTAGATCCCTCTGTCGCAGGTTAGTCCTCTAAACCTTCTCTATTTTGTCCCATTTTGCCAGCCACTGTGGAGTTTAAGGGGAGCATTTGCTATTATTTTTCTGGTGTTGACTCAACCCTTTCTTCCACATAATGGCTCTTCAACTGACCTGAGGCTTTGTCTCTGCCCTGGGACATGTGGCCAGCATGGCCACATTACTGTGGGCGACATCTGCTCTTTGGCTGCCCGGGGCACAGACATGCAAATCCAGACCAGAATAGCTTGTCTGTTTGACACAGACATTGAGATCTTTCTGTCTTTTCTTCCCTCTCATTTTCTGGCTGTTAGCTTATTACTATTTAAAATTGTATGCTTAAAATACTCTAACTAGTAACTGGAAAATATCAGTTGAAAGTCTTGTCCTCTCTCTTCTCCCACTCCTGTCTTTCGCCCCCATTGTGAATGGGCCTTGAGATGGGACAGGAGTGAGTCGATGGCAGATGAGCTGCTTTGATGTGAATCAGCAGTCAGCAGGGAGCAGCATAATTGATGTCTGGCAAACGGAACCCTCTGGTGAAGCTGTGTCAGCATCACACGGAGGGGTGATTAGCAAAGTTTAGAAACTTGACAGAACTACAAAACCATGAGCCCAGCAAAGGCAAAGCGTTACTATGCTTGCTGCCAAGAGGGAATAAAGACGTCTTTTAGAGAGGCAAATATGAGTTTTCTTCCTGGAGATGCTGAGCAGCTTCTGTTTGAATACTCAACTGCAGCTGCCTGAGCTCCGGCGCTGGAGGAGCCTGAGGTTCCCAGAGTTCCTCACTGTTCATACAGAAACAGACATCACGCATACACGTTAAAACTGCATGTGTGTTAGCACAGACGTGGACATTATACACACATGTTAACACAGGTCCAGCTGTCACACACACACATCAAAATGCACATACATGTTACACATACATGCATTCAATGCAGACACGGGCACCCTACGTGTTAAACATGCATGTTAATGCCGACACAGCCATCATAGTGTTATGTATACAAGTTAATGCAGACGCAGGCATGCACGTGGAGCACACATGCATGTTGGTAGAGATACAGACATCAGACAAGCAGTGGGGGCAGCACAGCTTCCCTCTCTAACCTCGCTCCTCGTTTCCTAAGGCTAATTATCTCCACTGAGCTTTATTTATATGCTTTATTAACATTAATATTATTTTGTTCAAGTCCCAACTACTTCAGGAACTGGGAGTGAAACTACTGGAATTGCCATTTTTGACTATGAACAGTTGAAAGTAAAAATTGGTAAGAACTTTGCCCATTAACTTTTTTTTTATTTTATTCTATCTCTTACCTTTTACTCCCACCTCCTTTTCTTTAATCCTAATATTTAACAATCAAGGAGTTATGGAGTTAAGGAGAGGGGATACACACATAAACATTTGATTGCTTTTTCCAAGTACATATAAAAATATGAAACAGTCTAATAAACTTCTTTTTGAGAATCACCTAAAAAGTGTATTGAAATGCCAGGAATCTTGATTGGCCATTTTCCTGCCCAGATTAATGACTGTGTGTCAATAATAAATGGTTATTCCCTTCCTTGGACATCTTTTTTTTTATATATTTTAAGTGTTTCATTCAGGTATAACATTATATAATAAAATGCATACATTTTAAGAGCCTGGGTTGGTGGATTTTGACAAATATAGACACCTATGTAACCACCACCCCCAATCAAGATACAAAATAGCCCCATCACTCCGGTACTTCCCACCTGCTCCTTCCCAGTCGCTCCCTCCAGCCCCATGCCGGGAGTAACCACACTCTGCTTTCCACCTTCTTTGTCGTTTTTATCCTACCTTCTCTGACTCTCAGCTAAGGTGGTGGAACTGGCCCTCTCCCTGAATCTGGCTCAGCATCCTTCTTCCAGGCCTCTGTAGCAGAATAAATTGACATTCGACCACACATCCATAGTAACGTCTCTTTTAAAATTAAATTGCATTGTCCTTTGACATTGTTAAGATAATAATAGTTACCAATACTTAAATTCTGCCTTACAGTTCTTTAAGACTTCTCCATAATGATATCTCATGTGATCCTTAAAACACCTCTGTGAGGGATGGAGGCCCCATGACGTTATAGTTTGATCTCGAGAACTCAGAGAGGCTAACTGGCTTGCCCAAAGACACACAGTAAGTGGCAGAGCAAGGACCCAACCCAGTGGTGTGCTAGGAAGCCAGCAGTCTGGAATTTATTAAGTGAATACGCCCTGATTTGTAGCGTTTGCCAGTTTCTGTGGTGTAAATCTCCTGCCGGGGCTGGGAAGAGTTGCTCACCCTCAGCTCCCGCGAGCCGGAAGGAGCTTCATTCAGCTCCACAGGAAAACCCGGGTTTCTGACTCCACATCTCCTTCCACGGCTCCTTGCTACTTCCCGACATGAGAAGGAACCCTGTCTCACATTTTTTTGTTGTTTAGGATAACTCGCTATCCTAAAGTTATTTAACGCATTTTAAATGGAGTCCCCACCTAAACAGCCTCTACTGACCACCCCTGTCGCAGGCATCGCTTCGCGAGCCCTGAAACCCACGCTGGGGCTGGTGGACCCGCGGCACACCCTGCACATGCCCGGCCGGGTGGTCGCCAACAGCGGCTTCGACGTGCTCTGGTAGGTGCCGGCGCCACCCACAGTGGCCTTTCCCGCAGCTGGGTCTGCGGACACTCTTTTCTGGCGGAAAGTCCTTGCTACGCATGTATCGATTAGTACTCCACGGCGCCCCCAGCTTGGGCTATGATCATCCCCTTTCCTAGATGAAAATAATATTGAGGCTGTAAAGATGGGGGAGTAGGTGACGCCCTGGGTGAGCCACAAACCTGCTGTTCAGGACGGACGGCCCCAGCCGCAGCTGTGGCCACAGGGACGTGGCCAAAGGAGTCGTCGGAACGGGCGAGCCTCTGTAGCCACCTTAGCCGGGGACCGACCAGGGCCGGCGACTCGGGCGGGAGCTGAAGGTCCCTGAGCCGGACCGTGCTCGCCCTGTCCGCGCTCTGCACGCACCCTCACTTCGCCACGGCTCTGTGCCAGGCGTAAAAGAGAAGTCACTTTGAGATGTTGAGTAATGTGCCCAGAGTCATAGGCATGCTCCCTGGGCTTCAGTGTTTCTACCACAGACCTTGCTCCCGAGCTCTAGGCCATTCGTCCCAGCAGCCTCACAGAGGTCCCACGGCACTTCACACACACTCCCCACAGCTCCTCCTCCGGAGTCCCTGCACTTAGTGAGCAGCAGGACTGATGCCCACACCAGCCAGCAGACCCCCTCTCTGGCCTTGCTGACTCTCTCTCACGTTTGCTCCCTCCTCAGGCCTCATTGCTCCCACCTCGATTCAGGACTGCCCCAGCTCTTGCCCCGACAGCTGAGGCAGTCTCCTCACTGGTCTCCCTGCATCCATCCTGTATTCCTTCCATCCGTCCTCCACACTGGCCTCACCAAGCTTTCGGAATGCAATATGACCGGTACATAGACACACAGGCACGTGTGTGCACGCGCGGGCGCGGACACACACACACACACACACACACACACACACACACCCTCTACCTTTTAAGTCTTTCATTGGCTTTCCATGCCTGCTGTCCGAAGGCCACATTCCTTGGCCCTGGAATGTCCCCAATGCTCAGTTCTTTATCTGCTTGGATAACTCATCTTTCAGTCTCGCTGGAGTGTCTCTCCCTGACAGAGCCTTTGCTAGCCCTCCCCTTTCCTCTCCTCCAGTAGAACTGACCACTCTGTCCTTTGCTCTGTCCCACTGGGGGGCCTGTACGTGGCTTCTGAGACACCCCTGTCTTCACGTGCCTGTGTCCCTCAGTGTACTGTGAACTTGGTGAGGACAGGACTGTCTTACTCACTTGTCTATCCCTTCCCCTTAGTACAGCAACTGTCACATCATAGGTACTCAATTAAGACCCATTAAATGAATTTCACACAAGCAGGAGGCGGCAGAGTTAGGATTCACATCCAGGTCTACCCAAGTTCATGGTCTGCTTTACTCACTGCATTACACTGCCTGCCAAGAAACTGGAGAAGACTGTGTCCAACTCCATCCTGGTCAGTGTTGTCAGTCCTTCGAAGAGTTCTCCCCTGATGGCTTGGAAGTGGGGGGATAATTCACCTTTAAGTGAATGATTCACAGGTCCGAAGACTTGACTGTCAGTCGGGAGGAGCGGGCTCAGAAGAAAGAATGGAGGTAGTTGCCCTTCCAGGTGTTGTCCAGGGGAGAGGACACCTGGCCTGAGGGGTCTGCCCTGAGGCCCAGCAGTCTGTTCTGAAGATGGACACACCCGTGTACGTCGCCTTAGAGGCACTTCCCCTTGTTAGGGTGCCATGGGCCTTCGGATCATAAATTAGCACCCTGGGACTTGCCAATAGGAAGAAAAGGTGCCAGATAGAAGACTCGAGTGTCTTTCCCCCTCGGCAGTTATGTTTCTCGTTGTAAATCAGTAATCTGACTTCCAGGTTTATCACATAGTTTCTGTGATCTCCGCTCAATGAGTCTGTGCCCGAGAGACAGATCTGCTCTTGGGCCCAGAATCGAGACGTGTGTAGGGCAGAGGTTCAACTCTGTACCTCAGTAGCCTGGTTGCTACCCTGTCCTCCCCACGTGGTCACCTCATTCTTGCATTACCCACATATTCTCTTTATGAGAGAATATGTGAACCACAGAGCCATAGTTTCTGTCTACCCGCTAATTAAAAAAAAAAAAAAATTCTAATGCTTTGTTCAAAAGATAGTACCTGCTTCTCAAATGTAGAAGAGAGTAAATTCTCCATTCTAAGACTGAAAACTATAATTCATGGAAAGAAAAAAAAATAGTTCATATTATATTGTGTTCCCAATGCCTCATTGATCCAGATGGTTAGTCTTATCTTCAGCAGTTGATTAGCTAGGATTGGTGGCAAGCCAGCAGGTCGAAGAAACTCTGAAGCTTGGGTCTTGAAATAGCCAACTCTGGATTTAGGGCACGTAAAAAAAAAAAAAAGAATCTTTTTTTTCAGGCCAAGATTTAATAATAATGGTGAATGGTAAGTTTTATAATGTGCTGGTTCAATGTACTAAGTACATGTGTCAACCCAATTTTCACAGTAGTGCCATGAAGATGTACTAGTACTTATTCCTGTCTTAGAATCATAGGGAGGATAGTGACTCCCCCCAGGCCCACAGCAGGAAGGTCCAGTGCCAGAGTTTACACGTGGGCAGCTGACCTCAGGGTTGGTGTTCTCGCCTCCTCACCGAGCTCCCAACAGGAGGCTGGTGTAATGATACCCTCCCTGCTAACATGATGTTTGATCAGTGCACGGTATAAAATGATAAATATAATTTAGAAAGAAATCATTTTTTAGATTCAGTTCTTTTCTCCATGACTTAAATGTTTAAAAATTCAGCATCATAAAGCTTGATTTGCACTAGAAAGGGGCTATATGCAATCTTCCACATACGGGTCAGAAACACTGTCGTGCTCTCGATGTAAATGTCACCGCGTTATTTCTCTAACAAGCAATGACTGTTGTGGGCAAGAGGCTGACTAGTGGAATGACTGTGTTATCGGGGCTACATAGCGTATCTGCAATGGAGCGAGTGCATTTTCAAGACAGTTTGTAATCTGAATAGAGGGAAGGAGGAAGACAATGTTTCCATCTGTGTATTTTAAATATTTCTTGCTAGCCATGCCCTGGAGTCTTACTCTGCCCTTCCTTACCATATGAGGAGCCCCTGCCCTTCAAATCCCATTTTTCGGCCAGCCTACCAGGGCAGCAACCCAGTCAGCGACATTTGGGCAGTCCAGGCACTGCGGATCGTCGCTAAGTATCTGAAGAGGTATGTCACCCAGAGACAGAAACGGAAGGGAAAAACCACATTCCACCCTCACATAAACTGTTGTATGCCGGATCCTGAGATGTCCTGAGCAAGTCTCTTCACCAAAAGGTCAGTCAAACGGACACAGAGAAGCACCAGGAGGTTTCCGGAAGGGCGGAAGGGATGAGGAGGGAACCATGTGAGGACAGAGGGAAGTTGGAGCCTTCAATCTGAAGAGGCAAAGGCTGTGAGGGGACAAAATAGGGGCCCCTAATTTGTGAAAGATGCAGGTAGAAGGTTTAATCATCAAAACCCCAAAACCAAAGCTAGGGGCAGGGGAGAAGGGGAGAAGTCCTTTGAGATTTGGCTACCAAGGGCAGACAGGAGAACCACAGAGGCGGATGCTGGCTGCGCCCATCCAGGCCCTGTGCAAAGGCACATGGAACCGACCCAGTGAGCACACTCACATGAGCTAAACTTAAGAATTAAATGTATGGAGTTGCCTGTCCCAAGAGATATAAAGGCTTCTTAAAAGGTTATGAAAGATTTATGAAAGACATAGCCATAATAGCCTCCTGAGAGAGCAAAGATATACTTGGAGATGAATGCTGATTCCTGAGACACGAAGATGTGCAAAGTCAGACTCACTTCTGTACTTATACACAAGGGAGGGAAGGAACATGGCCCAAGTGAGCCTAGATGTGAGCACGGTGCCTCCTCTGGCCTTGACCTGGAAGCTGCACTGGAGAGGGCACTTTTGTAGTAGAGCAGGGGGAAGGGACACAGAACTGTTACAGGCTCACAGGGACCATCGGGGAGCACGGCAGCATTTGACTGAGTAGAAGCAGATACAGATAACGGTCAGCCAGCATGTTTGACAGGAACAGAAGGCTTGGCAGAGCATAAGTGGGAGGCGAGGGGTTAAAATGGACGGAGGAAAGGCTGAAGCTCTGTTGCCTACTGTTTCATCTTATTATTCAGGAAATATGGAACGCTGAGTTTTGGATAGGAGACACAAACACCTAACCATTGCAGAGGAAAGGGGGGAAAGGCCATGGCACCCATTTCATAACAGGAACACTTACTCCAGGCAAAATCCTGAAAAAGCAAGTGAGCAGCGGTTCGCTGGGCAGGCTTAGGCTTCCTTCCCAGGACAGGGTTTCAGAGCAGTGTGTGCAGAGAGGCCACACTGCATCTGAAAGGGGCCTTTGAGAATTTGTTTTTCCAAAGTGGCACTGGGGACATATAGAACAAGCAAAGGCTTGTCCTATAATAACACCCACTTCCACAATAATAAATATTAAAGTAATATGTGCAGTTTGCATAGATAACAAAAGAATCCTCCAGTGGGTCCAATTTAGGGCAGTGTCACAGAAAGAAAGATGGCTGGGCGGGCCGCGTGTATCCTGCAGGTAGCCCCAGGCGACAGGGACTCACTTCAGTGAACCAGTCTGGGCCCAGTGCATTCTGAGTATGTGTTTACTCTAAGTCCATTCACAGCTGCATTCAAGGTCATTGACAAATGAAGAAGAAGAATGAGTCTCAGGGCACTTTGCTCGGCAGCTCTCACAATCCAAGGGTCAGTGCTTTGCTTCCCTGGGCACTTTTATCATACAAACAACCTGACAGTGTATTTATTATGCCTCTGCTGACACCATTGATGAGGAAATATGTTTATCTTCAGTTTTCCTTTAGAAGACAAGATGTCGTTTGAACAACTTGCCTAATTTTTCTTCCTACTGAGTAGCATTTCTTATTTTCCAGATCTTTCCGAAGGCAGCTCTTTATTCGATCGGCTATGCCAATGTTGATGTGTTATTGTTAGGTATTTATGTCACCCACAGGGCTGTCAGAAATCCTGATGATCTTGAAGCACGGTCCAACATGCACTTGGCAAGTACTTTTGCTGGCATTGGCTTTGGAAATGCTGGTGTTCATCTGTGGTGAGTGAATTTGAGATGTTCTTTCTTCATCTAAGCTATTGGTTTGAAATTTTTTAACATGTTTATAATTTAAGACAGGTGATAAGATTTAAATATGCTATAGAAAGAAGAAATTTAATTTAGAGTCCTGGAATATTTTCTTAATTAAAATGTAGTTTATTAGGTCATAGATTTTTTTTTTTTGGTAATAAGCTTTATTGAGATATAATTCACACACTATATAATACACTCATTTAAAATGTATAATTCAGTGTTTTTTAGCATATTCATGGTTTTTAACAACAATCCATTTTAGAACATTATATCACCCAAAAAAGAAATTCTGTACTCCTTAGTTGTCACCGCCAATCCTCCCATACCACCAACTGCTGATCTACTTTCCATTTCTATAGATTTGCCTATTCTGGACATTTCATATAAATAAAATCATATAAGATGTGGTCTTTTGTGTCCAGCTTCTTTAACTGAGCATAGTGTTTCCATGGTTCACTCAGGCATGTATCAGTACTTCATTCTTTTTTATCGCCAAATGACATTCCATTGTATGGACAGACCACATTTTATTTATCCATTAATCAGTTGGTGGACATTCGAGTTATTTCCACTTTTTGGCTATTATGAATAATGTTGCTATGAACATTTGTACACAAGTTTTTCTATGGATATATGTTTTCATTTCTATTGATTATGTAATTGAAAATTCCACTCCTAGGAGTGGAATTGCTAGTGTTTCTATGTTTAAATTTTGAGGAACGTCCAGACCGTTTTTCACAGCAGCTGCACCATTTTACATTCCCACCAACAATGGACGAGGGTTTTGATTTCTCCACATCCTCACCATGTGTTGTGGATTTTTAAAACCTTAAATGCATATTTTTTTTTCTCCTAATCTCTCTCAAATAGACAGAGATCAGAATCTTTGTCAATAGCCCAGAATTAATCTGTTTGATCAGAACTTTGTTTGAATGTTGCCTTAAAAATGAATACCAGTGAACGCTGAGAATTAAGAATAGGCCTTTGCTATAGGGAGAGTACAATGAAATGGTCACCTCCAAATTCTGCTGCTGAGAGGAGCATAGGTTGTCACCACCATTCTAAAAATCTCCCCAGAGCTTGAAAAACATTTGTCCCTTGTGACCCACTAATGTTATTTCTGGGAATGTTGCCCCAAAATATAATCATAATACGATCAACGAATTTCCTAATAAGGATATTCACCTAAGTGTTATTTATAATAGAAAATTTTGGAAACAACCTAAATTTCTAACAGTTTTCAAATGGTTAACTAAAGTGCAATAGTCAAAGAATAAAATAAGGCTACTAAAAATAATGACACAACGTTTAAAACTGAATACATGGTAGGATCATAAATTAAAGATATACATAAGAAGACTAAAAGGAAACATTCTGTAATGGTTATCTTAAGAAAATAGGATTATGGATTATTTTCATTTTTTACAAAGAACATATACAACTGTTAAAAGAAATCAAACTAAAATATTGGATTGTCAGAAACGTACCTTTGAAAGCTATGTGTACCTTGTCAGGTCATGAACACACATTAAGTAATAATTTTCTGAATACTCTGGAGCCTTGAGACAGGTAAAACACATTCAAAAATACCCAACTTAGAGAACCAATAGCTTCTGATCTGCTTCATGAAAGATGATCTTTTTTCGGAATAGATAATTATACAGTTCACCAAAATATTTTATTTTTCTATGAAATGTAAATCTTTTGATAAATAAGCACAAAGTCATTCAATAACCCATATCAGTAAACTTACAGACCATTTTACTATCATAAAACATTTCATTTTCAATATATTAATTGTAACTATAGTAATTTCTCACAATGTGATTCTTTTGAATCATCTATTAAATTATAATACTATCTATTTGTTCAGTAAAAATTCAAGAGGATATGAAGAGTTTTTCCATTAAAAAAAAAAAAAGGAAATTCCCCACAAATAAAAACCATGGTGCCTTTTCTTAAAAGACTTTCAGGTTAGAATAATCGTTTATGACTCAACTCCATTAGCATGTAACATTCAAAGGATATGTCAGTTATTGGTGGGACAGATCACTGGCAGGTCAGGCTTGCATATCTAACAGCACATCTTGGCTCGTAAAACTCCCATGGACATCTATCTCCTCATCAGCTTATGCAGGAGCGTGCTGCCAAAGCATTGCAGAGCAAGATAGAAAACACATGCCCTGAAGCTTATCGAAGAAACTTTAAAGTGAATTCTCAATTTCTTCAAGATCGTAAGGTTAACCAATGTGTTTGGGGAGTAACTTCTGCATCAACACATTTTAATATCTTACAATTCTATGAGCATTTGAATTTGAACATTTCAGAGATTTTGTTATGAATAACACCAAATGTTGAATGCATAATAATATATCTTTATATTAAAACAAAATATGGAACTTTGTGAAATAACAGGATTATCAAGAGACTGCGAAGGGCTCTCCGATAAGGATATCTTTGTATTGTTAATTCGAATTTCTGATATCTGCGTGTCAACATAAAGCCTTTTTTTCTTTTCTAGCCATGGAATGTCTTACCCAATTTCAGGCTTAGTGAAGACATATAAAGCAAAGGATTATAATGTGGATCACCCACTGGTGGTAAAATCATAATAAGTTCTTCAATTAAATCTTATATTCCTTGTAGTCACCATAAATGTATTTGTCAATTCTTGCTTGCTTGGAGTACTGGGTGAACTAATTAACTATCTGGAACGTGCAGGTCGAAGACCAGCTTTGCCCCATCGGTCCCCATGTTCTGTTTCTCTGCAGCCTCACGGCCTTTCTGTTGTGCTCACCTCCCCAGCAGTGTTCACTTTCACCGCACAGATGTTTCCTGAGCGGCATCTGGAAATGGCAGAGATACTGGGTACAAACCATTATTTGTAAATCTGTGAGCCACATGTGTAAGCATTTTCTAGGGTTGCTTCGGAAGGTAAACCATAAAGGATAATGCTAAAAAATGTTGCTTTGAGATATTTTATTAATCAAATGTCAGTGACCTGCCCGAAGTGTCTATTAGTACTGAAATTCTGTAATTTTATGTTTCCAGTAGTCTATTAACAATGAAATGGAACTAAATATTTCTTATGTTAAATGTGGAGTAATTAATTATATGTTTACCGTTTTCATCCCCGAGGAAAGTGAAACTCTATATCCTATCAGTGATATAAACGGCTTTCGCTGTGTTTAACAGGTAATAAAATGAATCTAAATCAGAAAGTAAATGCTCAATTATAGAGAATCTAAACAAGTAGAAACTGTAAAAAGACCCCCAAGAAAGAATTTGTTTGCTGCTCTGCAGAATAAATAATATCTACAATAAGATTCCAGCAGTGCCTTTTGAATCTTACAACGAGTAAAGTTATCTTCAGGATAGCTTTGGTGTTGAATAAAATTTCGGTATTTTTCTAAGATAAGAACTCCCTTAAGTAAACTTGAGTCTTTGATTAACTTTCTAAATATCTCCTTCCCCTACTCATGTAGGGTGGGAAGGGAAAGGCTAAAAAGAAAACGTCATTATGCTCTTCTAGCACCAGCCGTTGAGAGAGAAGTACTTCCAAAAAGCTGGGAGTGACCACAGACATCCTTCCGCAGGGCTGCTTCATCCCTCGCTTTTCTCCCACACTCCGGCGAGCTCGTTGGCGCCCTCCCCGAGTCCCAGGCGCTGTGCTGGGATTGCTCGTGACAGAGGCCCAGGGCGGAGAAGCAGTGCTGGGGGCTTGGTTTTTCTAGCACGCGACGCCAACTTTACCAAGGATCTTGTGTCCCTTCTACCTCGGGGTCTAGGGATGATGTTCAGCCATCTGTTGGAGCTCAGATGCCTTTGTAAATATGCAAACAACGTAAATAGGCAGGAGCCCAAATAGCAGCAGGCTAGATGCATGGTTAATGATAAAACCGTAGAGAATTTAGAGCTAATGTTCCAGATCACCAACGAAATTACTGAGAAAGGGATCCCCTTCGTTAGACAATATAGGAAATTTGTTTAATATTATTCTGTAGTTATCCACTAAATATTTTGATTTCTTATGTAATCTTAGATTTTCTTAGCTGTATTCTAATGTATTCTCTCCTACCCTCTTTTTTTCCCTAAAACACTGCATAGAAAAACCCAGAGGTTTTGATGGTGTGTTCTATGGCAGTAATCCCAGGAAAATAAAAATCTCATAAACCTCATGTCCTATGTCACCACTTCACCCACTCCATATTTTAGCTGCCGCTGTGTAATATAGACTGGCCTTGTCAGGCAAAGTTTACCTTCCAACCAGCTGCTCTCCCAACTAGCCCTGTATCTGGTCCGATTTACACCTTTTCCTGGATTACTAAAACAGTTCTCACTGTCCTAGAAGAGAAAGGTTAAAACCGATTTAATAATACGCTTTGGTGTGGAGGTGAACCGTATGTTCCAGTCTCCTTTTTGAACAACGCAGGGAAAGTGGGCTCAGACAGCAGCATGAGGCATTTGGGGTAGTAACTAATGCTACATTCCATTCATCAAGTGCTTCACTTCCTGACAGTGAAGGCGTTCAACCAGAATACATGGGGGGCAGGAGTGCCAAGGGGTTCAGATCAGTTCCCTTTGTCCAGGAGCTTTCACTGCCACCTTGACTGAGGGCAGAACCCCCTGGCCCTTCTAGATTGTGCCTCCATGATTTTATGTACTAATGATATCCAAGTCCTACCCTCACATATCTCCAACCCTTGGCTTCCTTCCTCCCCTCCACCAGAAGGATGATTATCTACATATTGCATATCGTTTTCTGAGAGTCTTCATGTTCTTAGTTCTTGGTTATGGCTATAGACAGGCCTCTCCGGGCCACACCCAACTGATTTTTGTCACTTTCCTCCTTTTCAGTAGTTAATGTTGGAGTTTTTGTACTTATATATCCATATCTCACAAGGTGCTTTTGCAAAGAGTTTGTCTTCCTTTCCTGAGATGTTGCTGTGAGAAAAGACGATGACCATGTGTACCTCTAGATGTCAGCAAATTCCAAGCCTTCAGAGTTACTTACGCCGTGTTTTCTGCTACGAGCCCTCTTCCTTGCTCATCCAAACACCAGCCTTCTTTCTTGGTCTCCTTCCTATGCCCCTTGTCTTGGCTCTGTTCCTCTTCTTCCCACCCCACAAGGGGCGAGCAGCCCATCAGAAATGTGAGAGCCAGGTTAGCTGCCCCAGCCGACTTCTCCACACTGGCCTGGCCCATCCGTCTTCTGTGGGGCTGACCACGGGGCTGGCCTCCACGTGGAGGCACAGTGGTGTCCTTGTCCTCAGTGTCGGAGAGCCAGCAGTAGGTTATATATCAGCTCTCTTGTGACTGAGCTGCACCCAGGACCAGCCTCCTCCTCCCTGCCTACAGCCTGTGCTTTGTGTCTTCTAGGAGCTGACACCCGCACTGCCAGGGCCGCAGATGCTGGGCCTGTTTTGGCCGACACGCTCCGGAAATTCTTATTCGATCTCGATGTTGATGATGGCCTAGCTGCCATTGGTTACTCCAAAGCCGACATCCCCGCATTAGTGAAAGGAACACTGCCCCAGGTAAGAGATGCAGTGCATCCTCGCTCCCTGCTGGAAGCACAAAACGGCGGGCGAGACATGCTGACATGATGAAAACCCAGGGGTCCCCCCGTCTGTACCGGAAGCAGCTCTCCGCTTCCAGGGAGAAGGGGCCAAGGCTTGCTCACAGTTATATTCTTCCATAACACTGTGAAACTTTTGTGATGTAACTGAAAGGAGCCTTCATGAAAATTCTAGGCCAAAACAACCACATTTATCTCAAGGTATGGCAAAATCTCTCTTTTCTCCATTTCTGCTCTTTTGAGAATCCCTATAAAACTATGCAAAGCTATTCCAGAAGGGCCACTAATATTATTTTCCACTCTAAAGAGTTACAAATTCCTACTATTGTGAAGAGTAGACAGGACCTTTAAATTAAGACTATTACAAAAGTACTTTTTTATGTAGATATAATTGACATTACATTAGTTTCATGTGTATAACATAATGATTCCATATTCATACATATTGGGAAATGATCACCACAATAAGTCTAGTTTACATCATTATACATAGTTACAAAATCATTTTGCTTGTGTTGGAAACTTTTAAGGTCTGCTCTCCTAGCAACTTTCAAATATACAGTATAGTATTATTAACTACAATCACTGTGACAAAATCATTTTTTAAAGTATTTGGGAGGTTGTATATTTTATACATATACATATAGATGTATACATATCTGTGCCACTTTGAATCTTATTTTGTTGATTTAAATGTCGTAAAGAGTTTAAACTGAGCTATTATCCTTTATTTGGTAGAATCATAGTAGATGTCAAGTTTGCCCTCCCAGAGTTCTCATAAAGAGAGTTTATCCCCCATTGGAGCTCGCTTCGATGGCGCTGTGGCATCAAACCCCCATAGGCCAAGAGCGTATCCATTGCAGTTCACCATAAAATAGAGATTCAGAGTCATGACCACACCATGCTCACCAGGCCCAGGGCACCCACTTAGTCCTCCTGTCTAAAATGAGAAAGGCGAGGACCACTTACACACTGCGAGGAGGTGAAGGTCAAGTGTGTCTGCCCAGAGGTCTTCGTGGATCTTCCCCTGACACTGGAACAGAGTGAACAGCTGGAATATCTGCTCACACAGTATCCTGCTTCCCACAAGTAGCAGTGCTTTTCCCTCTCCCCACTCCAGTTACGCAAGCTTCTTCCCCACTTAGAAAGTTTTTAGAATATCGAAGACCTCAGCTCACATAGGATAATATTTATATGGATTAGGTTCACAGACTCATATGTCCACAGGAGCCAAGCAGGTAACAGCAATGAACAAAATAATTTAAGGCAATAGGGAGTGGTGGGGACTTTTGTGAACTAGAAATCACATGACCCATCGCATTGGGTAAGCCTCTTTTCAGCTACAATTTATCATTTCCAAGCAGAAATTCAGGTCCCAGTATTGGGAGAATTAAAAATCAGCAGTCTCAATGTTGGTGGCGAATTCCCTTATTTCCCAATGTACAGACCAAGCATGGCCCGTGGGCCATCAGTTTCCCTGATTTAGACTCAGGCCCAGTGGACTCAGTTGCTTCTAAATACAAATGAATGAGAAAAAGAGGAGGTTCAAAGTTTAGCAGAGCCCCTAGACTAACTTGCAAACCCTTAGTTCTAACCCACAGTCCAGGGGACAAAGTAGCCAAAAAATATGACCATCGCTGTTACTTTATTCAAACGTGCTAGATTGTGAGTTGCATGAGGGCAGGAAGCTATCTGTTATGCTCATCCATTCTCTATTACACCTGGCACAGGCTAGTAAATATGTTAAATGCACACTACCTGCAGTCCGGTCCTTCTAAATTTTCTGTCCAGGTGAGCTTAATGGCTGAATGGCAGCAACTTCTTGAGAAGTTCCCTGAGATTTACTAGGACTCAACCAGTGACAAGGAGCCACAAAAGCCTGTCCTGGCTCTTACAGCATAGTCCCAGGAACAATGTCTTCTGCAAGTTGGGGGTGGGGGGTCCTCTGAAAAGTTCTGCTTGTTTATGGCCCAGGAAAGTATTCAGGAATATCTGTGTGTCGACCTCTAGGAATGGTATCCATGATTTTCAAATGAACCTGTATGATGTTCTTAGCCACTTAATTGCTGGTGGCAAAGGATCTTCCAGCCATCAGGACACCTTGGCAAGTGTTTACTGTTTTAATTCTACTGGGCTCAGACTTTCACTTTCAGAAGCTATTTCAGATTGACATTTGAGACCATCCACTAAAATAGCAAGTTAATTAGCTATCATTCTGAATGCCTCAGTGCACATGTCATACTGGGAAATACAGATAGCAAAACCTTAATTAGACTAAACTAATTTCTTCATTTCACAAAAGATTCAAGGTAAATAGAATCTTTTGAATACAAGTCGTGTCTGAAAAGTAAGAAGCCAGGAGTTCCTTAAGCTATATTCCTGAAGCAGCCCCAACATGTATGCTGCCTTTTTGCCTTTGATCATGTTTTCATGATCAGGAAAAACAGCCAATTTTAATTAACTAATACTAGTTCCATTTTAGGTAGATAGAAAGAGAGAGAGAGAGAAAGAGAGAGAGAGAGGGAGAGAGAGAAAGAAAAAAGAAAGAGAGAAAGAGAGAAAGAGAGAAAGAGAGAAAGAGAAAAAAAGAAAGAAAGAAAGAAAAGAAAAGAAAAGAAAGAGAGAGAAAGAGAGAGAGAAAGA